TCCTTAACAGCAACCCAGTTAAATAGAGTGCAAAAGGTGTTGGACGTGCTCAAGAGACCTCCTGAGACCCATGACATTGTTCGAGCTCGCGCTGCAAGATCCTCCAAATGGAGCCGGCAAGAGTGCTTGATTCCCTCCCGATAATGTAGTAATGTAGTAACAACCTGCTGTAGCGACGCCTTGAGCAGATCCAGGGGGTGCCTGATGCCTATCAAGGACAAGAGAAGGGGTCATCACTATTCTAGTTCCTGCTTTCACTGGAAATTCGTTCCTTATCAAAGAGGAAAAGAGGTAGTGGCCCGCCAGAAATGAAGTCAAGGGTCAGATGCAAAATGACATGGAAACTGAAATTCGACATGGGTTACATAGAGATTCGTCACTCTGCTCATTACAAGAGAGTTTGAAATAGTAGAACAATTACCGATTGACATCTTGTCTTCAGAAGTGGCAGGCAGTCAACATCCTCTATAAGTCATGTGCTGTCGAATAACCGCATGCCACCAGCCATCGAGGAGATGCACGGAGGCCTATGCATCACAGCCCCATGGCTGCAACCATAGCAGCCAACTCATGAGCTGTTCACGACAGATTCTAAGCAGAGTGCTGCGAGCGATGTGTGTGTGGGGTTGGAGTCTCCGCCTTGGCAAGGTTTGGTCAGCGTCAAACGTGCACGGGCGAGCCGGAGGAAACAAGGGTGCTGCGCTTCATTTGGATGCCGCTTGGCAGTGTCTCATGAAGAGCTACTTCCATGCAGCGCCTCAGACACTGCAGCTTGCGAAGCTGTGCTCAGGAGGACTGCAACCTCACTGTGCAGACCTTTGAAGCAGATCCTCATACCGGAAGCCAGGGCTATGCCGCCCCTGTCCCAGATCATTTCGCGCTTGCGGCCGGGGCGCAGCCTGCATTCTGAAGCTAGCTCAGCGGCGTATGGCCATGTTTCAAAACAGCGGTGTCCATGAAAGAAGCAGTGATTCCATTTTGTTGAACCAAACTAAGCGGGTTACAGTTTTGAGACATCATCCATATCAGCAGGCCGTGTACAGTGCAGCGCCCGCTTGCCGATGAGAAAAAAGTGCGTTGGCCGCCAAGCCCTAAGAAGGAGCCCCTAGGAGAGGCTTCTGCACCTGCGGGTCCCTTAGTCTGAAAGAATGGCTACGGGCACTCTGACTGTTCAACTTGCAACACCTCTTCTTAATGGGGGGCAGGTTGTGTGAACTGAAGTTGCATCTGCTAATCCCTGAAAGCAGACCAGGACAACAGGACTTCTTGAAGTTTAAGGTTTAGTCTTTGCCCCTTTGTTCTACGCGCTTTTTAGGAGGCCATAAAGCGTGACATGTGGTCGCGAGAATGCGTTTAGCACGGGCAGGGATGTCAGATGAAGGCCCCTTTTGGGTGTCCCTCATACATCACTCCGCCCTCTAGTCACTACTAGGATGAACTCCCTCACGTGGCTAGTATTAGACGAAGCTTAGACATTCCTAGTAAGGTCTTGTGACAAGATAGACACCCAAATACCATGAACAATTGTGGCCGCTCCATCTTGCTCTCACCTTGTCTTCAGCATTTTGCACTTCCCTACGAGGGGACTATAATGTGGAACCTTGAACGATTCCCGATATTTTCCCCCTATGATGCCCGTGTAAATATAGGACCACATGGCCAAAGTTCTTGTCTTATAGAATAGGTTGGTAGATTAAGCCCTAAATCCTAAAACGTTTAAACGGCCCATAAACCTTCAACCCTAGAAGTCCTGAGTTAAGTTGCGCCAGGTCCAGCCATCTCCAGAGCAGGACGCTTGAGGGGCCCGTGCAAGTGCCAGGAAGTCGTAGCCCCATAGGATTTAGGGTTTCCGGCAGATGCGGTAGTCCTCAATCCACATAGAGCAAGATCATATCCTCCACTAGAACATTGTGTTCTTGCAGGGGTCAAATCTTACATGGTCAACCTCATGACCATGGGATTAGAAGTGTAGCGCACAGGGTTCCGAATAGTAGCTTCACGTAAGCTGGATTAGTATATTGCCACTCTGCCCCGATGTCCACATGCAAATTTCCTACGCCCAGTTCGAGTGTTAAGTGATGGCGCAGACTTCTCCGCAGATGAGTTGTTGTCACAGGCGTGGTGCCATGCGAGAGCTTTACGGTGCCTGTCAAGGCAAATGCCTAATTGTTGCAGAATGGCCTAGGGACGATCCTGCGCATCAGGGGATTATATCAATGCAGCAATCGGCAACATCAAATCTCAACATCGAGCCCATCTCGTGAAACTCAGATGCCGCATGCAGAGGCATCAAAAGACACGACGGATATCATGACAGTCAGAATTGAGCAGGTAATCGATATCCGAATTATGCTTCTGATTCAATATTCGATTTAGCCCACCCGTGCGCTCATTGCCAATGCAGATCTCTCATTGCGGTTGGAAACTCAATTTGAGGATGATTCTGCGACTCTTTCCTGGAACGCCCTCCCATTTCGGATTCCAAATCGAGATGGAGGCGAAATCTTATAGATGTCGTCATTCTTGGTAGGATTACTTTTCTTGCAACATATATCAGGGTTGATTCTAGATTGCATCGGGTGGTCCGGAAGCCATTATCTAGTGCAATTCAACGTCTATGGCGTTTTCGTGGCTAATAATGAAAAGTCGGTTTTGTTAACTACCAGATTATATTAGATTATCTGGAAAAATATCAAATTCTGAGATATTTCTCTAAATTTTTGGATTCTAATCTAGACACTTATTTCTTGGAAGAATAATTTGATAGGTATAATAATATTTCTAAATATATAAATTCTATTTCATTTAATTTTTTCTTGTTGATATATTCGATATAGAATTCTCTGCCCTTCAAATAAATAGAATCAAAATTATTGACTATTTATTCGTCTCATTTAGATAATTGCTGATTTTTTTTTTTTTTTTTTT